AGCTTGTTAACGTCCTAAATAGGATGCGGTACTCCTCTTCCAGCTTAGGATCTGACTCGCGTAATTCGGCTACTTTGCGTTGTGCGTGCAAGACCGTCGTATGGTCACGCCCACCAAATTCATCGCCAATTTCGGGCAAACTGTGGTTAGTGAGTTCCTTGGATAAAGCCATCGCTATCTGACGTGGACGTGCCAATGAACGGGTACGGCTTTTGGAGTCCATGTCGGTTACCCGTATGTTGTAGTACTGGGAGACAATTTTCTTGATGTTGCTCATCGAGACCATTTTGTCCTGACTGGCCAACTGATCACGTAGCGCGTTCTGGACGAAATCCATCGTCACCGTGTTAACACATTTGAGGCGCATACTGGCAATGACGCGTTGTAATGCGCCTTCCAAATCACGAATATTGGAATGGAAGCGCTTGCCAATGAAAAAACTCACGTCATTGGGTAGGCGTAGCCCCGCGTCTTCGGCTTTCTTGCGCAGAATGGCAACACGGGTTTCCAGATCGGGGGATTCAATCTGTACGGTTAAACCCCAGTTAAAACGGGTTTTGAGACGATCTTCAATGCCGTCCAGATCGCGCGGGAACTTGTCACTGGCAAGGATGATACGTTTTTGGCCTTCCAGCAGGGCATTGAAGGTGTGGAAGAATTCTTCCATGGAACGGTCTTTACCAGCAAAGAATTGGATGTCATCAATGAGTAGGGCATCCAGACTGCGATAATGCTGCTTAAACTCCTCCATGCGCGAATTGCGGATGGCGGAAATCATGTCATTGACGAAACGTTCTGCATACACATAAATCACCCGCGCATTCGGTTCACATGCCAGAATGCGGTTGCCAATAGCGTGCATTAAATGCGTTTTACCCAAGCCAACCCCACCGTAAATAAACAGTGGGTTGTAGGTGGTATCAGCGTGATCGCCGACTTGTTGTGAGGCGGCACAAGCGAGTTGGTTGGATTTGCCTTCAACGAAATTAGCAAAGGTCATGCGGGGATTTAGCGAATTGGCAAAACGTTCGCTGACCGGTGCGGGCATGAGTGCCGGTGCTGATGGGGG